AGTGGTGTATAACTATGTTATGTTTCTACCTGCCTAGGAGAAAGCACTTCTTTTCTTAGCATCATCAACTAGAGGAAAGAAAATGTGGTCTGGATTTAGAACCTGGCTTTGTTTGTGTTGAAGCTATTTTCCATAGCCCTCAGAACTGGAGGAAATTTTCAAAAGAGGGAGGAAAAAAAAAAATGAACTGAAATTAAAATCGATGTGAAAACCAACATGCCCTTTAAGAAAGATTTGGGTGGCTTTTCCACCATTGCTTTGAAAGTTGTTTTAGGCAGTGTAATGGGCAAAAGCAAATTATACAACAGCAGAGACAGAGTAAGGCCTATCTCCTATGCTCCCTGCTATAACACTGAAAACAAGGAAGAAATCTCTTAAATCCAAATTAAGTCTCCATTGTGGAAAAGGCATGTGACATCTAAGAGAAGACACACATTATCTATGCAACAGACATACTTCTAAAGGGGCTAACTCACTCTAAACCGGAAACTTGGATTCCAGCCATGGAGATGAGAATTTTTTTTTTTTTTTTTTTTTTTTTTGCCTTTTTGAACATTACTCCCTTTCTGGCAATTTAGCTTATTTTCCCCCAAAAGTGGCTTCGCTGACACACATGGCATGGTGTCCATGGGAGCAGCCCCCGCAGGTTGTCACCGTGAAGGTGAAAGAGGGTAAGTTGGGAGGAATGAGATCAGACCACTGCTGTGCTTTAAGACTTAACACAATGCACCATACTAGGAAGGAAATTTTAAAAGATTCAAATAGCATAAATCTATTTGTTTTTCAAGCAGGCTATGGACTCTTGCCTACCAAGCCTTTCAGGAACTGGAGATTATCTGAGTGCCGGTCAACTCCTGGTGAAATATCCCCTTCTCACTGACTGAACGGAAAAGCTACAATCAATTTGTCCCCTAGCATCAGTAGCCAGACAGCAGGTAGGCCCACAAGGCCATCCTCTCCACTGTGAAGAAGAAAATCTAAGCAGAAAACATTGCCCCTCCCTTCAAGGAGCCTGAAATCAAACTGAGGACCTAGAATTTTAAAAGTGACTAAATACCACCAATTTGGTTCTAAGATTTATAAGACAATGCAACGCATGTAGAGATAATGTGAGGAAACAAAGCAAAAAGTGAATAAAATAAACAGAATTAGTTCAGCTGAAAAGATGAGCATGACCTGGCAGAGAGCCAGAGGAAATCTCGACAGGAAACAGCAATTTCCACGTGTCTACTGTTGCAACCGGAGGCTGGGGCGCCATTCTGAAGACGTGACTACTCCCCGCACATCAACGTTCAGACTTCTATCCCAGACATGCATGGAGGGGCAGGCTCGTGCTCAGGCGGCAGGAGTGAATGTTGATGAAGGGTCACCGAGAAAATGAGATCATGTGAGACAGGGAATCCTAGACGTCATAATAACTATTTGAGCAAATCACAGCAAGAGAGAAGTTTTAGGACCTTGAGGAACAGCTAAAAATAAGAGAGAGATAGCATGTATCACTGAGCAGGGAAATGAGAACATGAATACTTGACAGAAACTATTAAGTTTGTGTACCTAACACATAAAACTGACTCCTGCAACAGTATACACCTGGCTGAAGTGCACAGGTGCCTATGGTCTGGGCTCACCAAGCCAGTGCCCTCCTGCGTCTCAGGCACCCCCACAAGCAGGCTGCTCTTCAAAGCCCTTTGCACAAAAAACTTTAGGAAAGAGCTGTGCCTCTTTGAAAGACTTTGGCACATATATCAGAATCAAAACAAGGGCCCCTTTGGGATTCTAGAACAGGTAGGAAACATAGGGACTAAACTTCTAATTCCAGCTTTAATTCACCCTGATTTGTCTTGCATCTTCCGATGCTCCGTGAACAACTTCTGTATCTGTTTTCTGACTGGTGACACGCAGAGAGGGGAGTTGACCTAAGTCAGGGGGTCATGGTCCTACAGGACTTTGAGATGACCCTGGTCCCCCTAAACCTGCCTCCTCATTTGGGAGACTCGTACAAGGCTCCAAGCCAAAAGCAGAGTTCAGTGAATAGGAAGAGTGAATAAGTGAAAATTGAGCCTTTCAATGACTTCAGTCCAGAAAAGTGGGCTGGTAGAGGGAACAGACAGTCATGCCGCTTTTCCACAGGGAGCCAGGCAGGGCTTGGGACGAGGGAATGGCAGGACTGGTCAAGCCAGTGGCCCGGGCTTCCACTTTCAGCAGAACAAAGAAAATCCTGGCTCAGCAACTTGAACAGAACAGCAAACTACGGTGACCTAAATGAAACTGGTGAAAAGCATATTTGTTAGGAAAAGCCAAAAACTGTGAAGCAAGGGCAAGTCTTAGCACAAAAAAAAAAAATAAAAAATAAAATAAATAAAGGTGTCTAAAATGTTTTTAACAACCTGCTTCTTCCTCCCTTCTGAGAAAAATGTTCTTCATGATCATAACAAGGAATTGTAGTGTTGGTCACTGTTTGGCTTCTGTTCACTAATAGCAATAACAGCCCACAGTTCATTAATTTTTTTTTCAGAGTCAACATCTTTACAGCTCCTTACATGTCAGATCTTCAAATATGCCCTCAGATGGAGTGTCTAAAGAGGAGGATTTCAGTGCTCTCTCCGTTGTTAAACATCCCCAAAGTGTTTCCTGCCATGCCATGATTTCACCAGGGCGCCATGACAGGGCGCCCACAATCAAAGGGGACAGAGGAAGAAAGAACTTAGTTCCTACTCGCTCTTCCCCCGCTGTGTAGTGCAGCCTCCCACCACTAGCCCAAAATACCATTTTGATGAAATATTAGAGTGCATACATCTCTACAGGAATCAGAAAATAATACCTTCTTGCCAAGCTTCGGCTCAAGCAGGACACTTCTTTTTAAAAGCCTTTTCTGGTAACTATTTCCACCATCAAATAGGGATGGAGCATCCTTCCTGGCACTCCCTGATGCTGGGCTCCTCTATTCTAGGTATTTTTGCTGTTGCTTTCTTCTCTGCTGACTGTATCCTAAGCTTCTGGAAGGCAGAAACCCCATTTTCCTCACCTCAGAATCCCCAGGAAGCAACAGAGGCCCTGGCACAAAGCAGGGGCTCAACTGGGTGATGAATTAATGAATTCGTTGATTTTTTTTTTTTCTGATTAAATAAATCTGCAGGCTGCACAGTTTACAAAGAACTTGCACACTCACTTCCACATCTGATCCTAATAACACCAGGAAGTCCCCCTTGGGGAGGGGCCACAACTGTCCCCATCTGTAGATGAGGATGCTGAGGCCGAAAGAGATCAGTGACTTCAGTGATGTCACACAAGGGGCAAAAGGATTTAATGATTTTTGCCATCTAAATGATTTAAACTCTCCCTCATTAGAATCTTGCCCCCCATAGGGTCCTGCTGCTTTAGGTCAGAAGACTGTCTGGGTTTCATGAATGTGAAACTAACTGACTTGGGTCCCTGATTCATAACATTCTCATCATTAGTCCAGGAAATGTTGTTCTCTGATCTTCTTCACCTGCTTGTTTACACATTTAATTCTTTTTAATTACGTAAACACTGGTACCAATAAATTCTATGCTCTCTCCTGGTTTAAGAGTTTATTAAGTAATTTTCCTAGAATAAAGGGAAATTCCAGGAAAGGAGCATTCTTCCTGAGTGCCCATTCAGCACGCACAGGTGATACCGGAGCATTCTCAGGGCTGTATCAAGGAAGAAGCTGCATCTCAGTCAAGTCCAGTCTTCTGCCTAGTACTCCATGAATGCAGGCAGCCTACATTGGCATGTGCCCAGAATGTCAAATAAGAATGTCAGTAAGTGTGTTCTTGGGAGAGACAAAGAATTGTTTTAATCTAAAAGGACGTTAGGGGCGCCTGGGTGGCGTAGTCGGTTAAGCGTCCGACTTCAGCCAGGTCACGATCTCGCGGGCCGTGAGTTCAAGCCCCGCGTCGGGCTCTGGGCTGATGGCTCGGAGCCTGGAGCCTGTTTCCGATTCTGTGTCTCCCTCTCTCTCTGCCCCTCCCCCGTTCATGCTCTGTCTCTCTCTGTCCCAAAAATAAATAAACGTTGAAAAAAAAAATTAAAAAAAAAATAAAATAAAAATAAAAGGACGTTAAATCATGACATATGGGCTAAAAATAAAAAATTAAATGAATGAAAAACAACTCTTCTCCTTTCCCCCATCCCGCCATGCGCTTTCATATGGGAGAACGTGAATTATCCCCATTGTTCAACTCAACTGAAAAATGCTAACCAAAAATCACCATCAAGAGCAGACTGGAAGAATTTCAGGGCAGCCCTCCTCCACCTTCACGCTGTTCCCTATACTCATTCCTTCAGGAAGAGACAAAGCCTTTCAGGCCACAGTTATAGATGTTTTCACCAAGAACTTGAGTCACTGAACACCCTCACTAAATGTATTCTAACTAGCTTAAGAATTTCAGAATGCAATCTTCAGCTCAAGGTAATAGTTTCTGTGGATGCGTTTTTGGTTAAAATTGGCTACTATACCCAAACCACTTTTACAAGACCAATCTACCTTTGTGTTAGGGGAAGAAGTATATCAGACAGGAGGGCATGAAGTGCCTAAAACATAAAGTGAAGTCATCTTTTCTCGGGGGGGGGGGGGGGGGGGAAGCACCAAAAAAGAAAAGAAGGTAGCTTGATCTGAGGAAATCAAACTTAGATTCCAGGATGTTGCTAAGGGGATGCTCTATTCATCATCAACTTGGCAAGAACCAATAAAGCATGTGCACAGAGGTACTTTTCATCGCACAGCTGCAAACCCAGGCAGTAACGCTTCAAATGATTCATGAAGTTTTTATTTTAGTCTGAAACACATCTGATTTCATATAAAGGAACTATGTTGCCGGGAGTTTGAGAATGGAGCTCTGGCCTGGGTATCTGAAGATTGATCAGTGAGCAATACTGAAAATTATTAAGTCTTGCTTTGTAGCCATAGGGATCTTAAGAATGAGAAAGACACACATGCAATTGAATTATGTTTAGATGAAAAAGCCAACACCTACACTCCAGTCCAGAGTCGCTCTGGGCTCCTTCGCTGGACCATTTGCCACAGGAAGGCTGAGGGGATGTGCAGGAGCCAGGTGCTGCAGGCCTGCCCGGGAGATTGCTTTCCTGCAGCCAGAAGAAAAAACACAAAGAAAAACCAACATCAGAAGGTAAACAGAGCTAAAAATTTCCCCTGGAGTAAAAACAACGCCTGAGTTAGTCTTCTGCATGCAAAAGCCTTTGCAAATGTATTGGAGTCTATGTCTCTAAAGTGTATGGTGTATGGTGAAGATACTGGGTGGCAAGTCTCAAAAGACAGGGAGATTGAGGGGACCATTTGGGGGGCAATGTTGCTTCAGGACCAGAAATGGAATTTCTAGATGCCCCTATTCAGGGTAGAGGGCAGAATGCAGGTCTCTCCGTTTACAGAAAAAGACCTAGGGCTTGGATGGTCACACTACTTGGACAATTTTAAAGCTGCCAGAGACTAACGGCAACAAAAGCAGACTCAGGGAGTCTTCTACTGTCTTCTACTGAAATTCCTCCATTTCCCAACAAAGTGCTCTCCAAGTTGGTCAGCCTTGCTCCTCTTAAGAACATCCTCTCTCATCCTTGCAGAGGACTTCTGCAGATAGCTTGAGATTCCAAATGGGAAAAGACTGATTTGTATCTGGCAAGAAATGGCACACGCTGAAAGACCAGTAGCTCACCAAGGCCCATGGAACAATAAAATCAAAATATGTTGCTTAGATTAGGTTTGTTGAATGGAACATAACAAAGTGCAGGTCAGAAAGGAGGGAATAAATCAGGAGAGGTTGAGAAAGTCAGCCCTGACCTTGGTCTTCAAAGATAAGAAATAAGAGGAGTTGTTTTAGCTTTAGGGTGAAGGGAAGGGAGGGTAGATGAGAGCCTGGTGGAGAGAATGCAAACAGCAAGAGAAAGGAAGAAAGTGGCAAGATCTTGTGGTATCATCATTAACAATATAGGTTAAGTTTCTGAACGGCTCCATGAAAAATGCCAGACAAGGGTCTCAAGCTGAAATATAAGTGCTGATTCACAAATGAACTAAGTGGCTTCCTGGAAAGGAGAGTTTTCCCTTTACTGGAGTGTCTACATGTGCTTTAAGAATTACCTGAACTAGAATCAGGTGGGTCTTGTGACCCTGCAGCTGAGCCTTGAATAGGTCTACGGGTGAGGCCCGGGAATCTGCACTCACACATGCTGCCCATGTGCTTCCTTCTGTGAGCTCAAGTTTTCAAATTGCTCTATTGGAGTGTGGAAGGGCTTTAATCTAAAGAGGGTATGAAATGAATTTCCCTCAGGCAAGTGAAACTTAGAACTTAAGAGACTGATGCGCTGAAGACTGGAAACCTATCCCTCAACCAATGAACAAACACCAAGATTGTCTCCCCATCCTCAAGCCAATGAACTTGCTGCTCGGACTCAGGCTAGACTCCCTGCTCTTTGCATTCCTGGCCATAAAAATAGCCTACTCCAAACTGGTAAAGGACTCACCCGTAGCCTGCTACAGTTTTCATATCCTGAGTTGCAACTTCTCTCCTATTCCCAAATAAACTCAATTTCTGGTAATTCAAGCTTGCCTTGGTTTACCTCTTTATTTAGGTTGACAAGAGCAAGTACATTTGTGTAGGTGGGGGAGCACTAACTTACCCAGGCCCATTGAGGGGGAAGCCCTAAAGAAAAGCATCAGCAACTTCATTACGCACTTTACCCCCATTAGCTCTCAGCATCCTATCTCACAGGACGTGAACACTGTAGTAAGAATCTGCCATCTTGGACACTGGACCTGCAGACACATGGGGTCCCCAGGGAGCCCCGGATCCTCAGACTCCTTTACCCATCTCTCTATACAGAGGAACAAGGCTACAGATGGGGAGATGGGGAAAAGGAAGGCAGTGATAGCCCCATGTACAGTGAATCCCATAATGACAGAGCCAGTGGAGGGAAAGGAACTTGCCCGGGAAGGGGAGAGGAATAAGAGCAAAATGTAACAGCTCTGTTGGAATCTAGAAGCAGATGATATCTCTTTTCTGTTCACTGATCTCTGCAAACTCCACCCAGAAATGGAATTTGTAGTTGACCAAGATAAACAGTAGCCTCAAAACCCAACGAAAGGCTTGGTAGAATCAACAAAAGAATCTAAGATCTTGCAGACACTGATAAATGGCCAAGTATGTCTAAGAGCTCAGCAAGTGCCTAGCCCTTTTTCCCCCTCTCTTATATTCCCACACAGGAAGTCTTAGAAATAACGTAAAGGGTTTTAGTAGTCGGAAGTCATCACATGAAGCTTGCCTATAGCCTACTTTCAGAAGCTCCGCCTGGATAGCACACAATGTAGTTGCTTTATGGAACCCCCCAAAGAGTCATTACAAGTATGTAGACCTTTAATGAAACCCTCTGATGACACAACATTCCCTTTCCTCCCTTTCGTCAAGGCAAATAATTAACATCAATTTTGGCCTCTTCACTGACACCAACTTTTTTGAGTTCCCAGAGCTAATTCCAAAGATGGCACATAGGTTGGGGGTAGGGAGCAGGAGTGGCTGGGGTTCCCCCAACATCAAGTGATTCTCGGACACCAGCAGGGTGCCCAAGAATTCAACACAATTCTGACACTATCTACCCAGAGCTAGCATCAGATTCCACAGGTTCAGAGTTCAGGCCTACAGGACTGCACCCATCCCCCACTTCAGACGCCAGTCTCAAGCCCCAGGCTGTGAGGCTTCTGGCCAACCAGCTACAGATTGGAGGGTCCAATGATGTCCTCCTCAGGTTTGATTAATTTGTTAAAGTAGCTCACAGAACTGATGCGAATGCTTAAGTTACCGGTTTATTAAAGGATATGATAAAGGATAGGTATCAACATTCAGATGAAGAGATACAGAGGGTGAAGTATGGGGGAGGGGTGCAGAGCTTCAGTGTCCTCTCCAGGGGCCTCTCTCACACCTCCACACACATGCTCACCAAGCCGAAAGCTCTCTGAACCCCATCCTTTTGGGTTTTGATGGAGGCTTCCTTATATAGGCATGATTCATTAAAACATTGGCCAGTGGCAACTGATTCAACCTTTGGCCCCTCTTGCCTCCCCAGAGGACTGAAATTTCCAACCCTCTCATCACAAGACTGGTCCTCCTGGCAAACAGCCCCCCACCCTTGAGTGGGGTACAAAGTCACCTTCGTTAACATAACAAAAAATACCTTTTTCACCCTTATCACAGGTTCCAGGAGTTGTGAGCAGAGATCCATAGATGAAGACCAAATTCATATGAGAAATATATATCTAGTCATTCAGATGGCTAGATATATATTTGTCATAAATCACAATATCTCAGCCCTTCACCCCAAAGTATTTTCCATTCCACCAAGCAAGAGGAGAAGAACACTCAAGATTCTTATACTGTGCTCCTTCATGGCCCATGCATTTTTCTCCACCTGGGTTCAAGGAACTTCTGTAACATTTTTCTTTAGGACTTTTCTCTGGCTTTGAAGGAGCTGGTATGTGATCCTAAGTCACAGCTTTTGTCCCAAGGAAAGGAGATCTCTGCGGAGTCAGAAATTACAAGTTCCACCTTGGATTCCTTAACACATAACCTAAATTTAAGTGTTCTAACAAAAAATAACAAACGGTGCCGATGCTCAAGGCCTTGGAAGAGCTGAAGAAATTCCTAAATCTTGGGTAAATGAGAAAAATACAAGTCCTTCATCTTTTCAACAGTCCCAGGGCTGGGATCGGAATAAAAAAGAGAGGGAATAAAATTCTCCTCGCACAGTAGAAACCACAGGACAAATGAGTCTAACTCACCAGAAGTTGCAGACTGACTGACCGCCAAAACCTACGTTCCTAATTAGAACAGACAGGAGGGCAAACTGCTGAGGTAATTAAATCAGGGTGCAAGGGAGGCGGGCGTCTCTTGAAGAGCAACGTGGCAGTAAGAAGACATCCAAACCTTCAACCCGACTAAGCCCTGCAGTGAAATCACAGCCAAAGTGACACTCTTCCCCAGCCTGTGAAGAGAAACGATTAAATAAGGGCTTTTGCCGGTTATCTATTCCTCACTGTGGATGCAAATTTAAGGTTGGTTTTCCGTAACATTAATAGAGGAAAACCGTGTATCTATGACACAGAAAAACACTTAGTAGAAGGAAAATAAGTAGGAAACATCAAAGTGGCTCCAAGTTCCTAACTGTAAATGGGCCTTACAAGAGGATATCACATAAGAAGAACAGGGAAGGGGCGCCTGGGTGGCGCAGTCGGTTAAGCGTCCGACTTCAGCCAGGTCACGATCTCGCGGTCTGTGAGTTCGAGCCCCGCGTCAGGCTCTGGGCTGATGGCTCGGAGCCTGGAGCCTGTTTCCGATTCTGTGTCTCCCTCTCTCTCTGCCCCTCCCCCGTTCATGTTCTGTCTCTCTCTGTCCCAAAAATAAATAAATGTTAAAAAAAAAAAAAAAGAAGAAGAACAGGGAAAATATCTGTAGGTACCAAACCAGAGTAGGAAGTAACTTCTGATTGTAGCTTTCTCCATATTTCTCAACAAGCACGTGAGAAAATCCTTTTCTCTAATAGCTCATGTAGGTGTACACATTTTGTTCCAAAATACAAAAACAATTTCATCATTTATCAGACCTCAAATAAAATTAGTATAAGTTATTTTTCTGTGTGGGTTCGTCCTGGTTGTAGAAAATGACATTTCAGAGGGGTAGCATTTGGGGCATGTTGAAATGGCAGGGGTTCTATGTTACAATATGCTCCAGTAAAAAAATCAATGGGGTTTCAACTTATTCTTTCCTTCTGCCCAGAATCCTCCCAAGCCTACAGTCAGTGAAACAGTGAAATGCCAGCAATCCTTCCTATTAATTTTGCAACAACACTTTGTTGGGATGACTATAATGGCAAAAGAATCTTTGAAAAGGAGAACTGCAATATTAACTGTGAAGTAGATACGAAAAGAAAATATTCTATAATGCAGTTTCAGGCGCACAAAGTCACAGTTAATGTCAATTACCTGCCGTGAAAGACCTCTAACATATTTAAAGTATAAAAACCATCATACATTTTAAATAGCATTCTATTATTTCCTTTACTTCATTCAATAAGACTACAAACTC